CACACACACACACACACACACACACACACACACACACACACACACACACACACACACACACACACACACACACACACACACACACACACACGGCCAGTAAAGCCACTGCCAAATTCTGCCCCGCATTCACTTCTGTAGTGGGATGTAAGGAGATGCAGATGGGGAGCAAAAGGGGGGATGAGGAGTGAAGGAAAGGAAGAGAGTAAAGAAACTGCAAGGGCGAAGTGGTGCAAAGAACTGCCCGAGACAATTGGGATCAATAGTCGAAAACTAAAAAGCGTAATTGCTAATACAAATAGATAGATTTTTTTAAGCACTTTGGCTTCAGGTGACATTTTGCTGGGTGGTGGTTAAGAAGCAACCATGTGGGATCCCTGTTGTTTGTGTATTTAAAGCAATAGGTCAAAAAAAATTGAAATACGTTTACTGCCTTATTGCAAAGAGGTATAAAAAAAGGTCAGGTTAACTCTCTCCTGTTAAATTGAGCTTAGCTTACAGAATAGAAACAAGGGGAAACCGCTAGCTTGGCTCTGTCCAAATGTAACTAAATCCTCCTGGAAAATAATCTTAAACTCACAAATTTTTTAATCTTTTCTTGTAATGTTTGTTTAGTCTGTACAAAAACTTGGGTGTAAAAACAACATACATTTCTGAATACTGTTCTGGATTATTTCTAGGCCACAACGAGTTACTTCCTAGAATCACAGCCTGTTGTTTGGTCAGGCTTGCTCTTTCAACACGTTTCCAGTCTTAATGCTAAGCTAAGCTAACCTAACCGTTTTAGCTTAATTTTGATGATTCTTTGTAATAACTGTTGCGAGGAATCTGTGAATTTGTAAAATAATGTCTGCAAAGCTTTCATTTACTCAACTTGTCATTTGTTTAGAAATGCACAGTGGGAAATTAATGTTGGGTTGAATATCCAACCTGAAAGCATTGGCTGAAAAATACATTTTGATTATTATGATTTGGACATGAGTTTATATCCCTGGTTCTGTATCCAATCATTTAATGCATACAGCTGTAAACAAAAAATGCTTATTACAAATGTACTTTTTAGCAGATACAAAAAAAATCTATTTACTGCAATCAGATTATCACTTGTTTAAGGAGGGACCATATTGTGTCAAAAAGTAAAACCTTAGACAAATAATATGCAAAGAAAATACTACATTACCGATGTGCTTTCTTGCCTAGGCTGAAGTTGCAATGTTGCATTACCATTTGACAATATTGCTTTGACAAGAGGGCAACAAAATGCTACCTCAGATAAGTATCTGAAATCATTCATGTGTATGCCAACAGGAAAGGAAAAAGTGAGTGCCAAGAGGGTTTGGAAATCAATCTAAAATGTATGTATGACTGTACTATAACAATATAAACATTACATCACAAATCATTAAACAAGTGCAATATCTGTCAAAGTGATGAATGTGTTTTGTATTGTCCTGACTGAGGTCCCAGGAGAAACTGGAGAAAGATCTACTCATGTAACAACTAAAAGCCTAACACTGTTTCTACCAGATTCTCTACACAACAGGGCAGAGCTGCTGCTTTTTGACGCAGAAAGACTTAATTCATGCTGTGGGATTTTATTACGAGGTTATTTTCAGTGTGTCATTTAAGCCGCCCGAGTGGAGCAGTGTGCGGGTTTATATGACAGCTTCAGCATGACTAGACACAAAGGATAAACATGCCCTGCTGGCAACATCAAAGCAGGGAGAGGACCAGCTGAACAGAGACAGCATGACCACGTGTGTGCTTTCCAAAACGTCTCTTTAATGTCCACCCGGTAATCTTTTCCTAAAGGGCATGAGTAAGCTACAAATGGACTGTCACACAAGGAGCTTCAGACAAACAGATTTTCTCTTCTTACATCAAGCCTTTTTTTATCCCTTTTTTAAGCGTTTGGGAGGGAGACCAATGTGACACGAGCAGTAGCAAGAGATGTGACTCTTTCACTTAAGTAATAACTGAAGTCTCAGAGGAAATATAACCACCACATGTCCGGGGCCAGGCCTGAACTATCCATCACTCCTGTCTGATATTCCTCCTTTAATGAATACATCGCTGTGGGATCTAGACTCCACTCACTCTCTTACTCCGGGGAGAAAACGTGAAGTTTAAAGCCGTTTTGCCTTCGCTCTACAAACGGCTTTAGCAATTGAGCAGACTTCGTTCGCGTGAGACTGGGGAGCCAATTAGGGATTTGATTAAGGTTCTCACTTTAATGATACAAATAAATTGCTTCGAAGGACGTCAAGGGAAGTCTACTAAAAAACCAGGACCGATCTCCGTAGAGAAGCTTTCATTCAATAGGAAGGACATGGTATCACTAGAGTATGTCCTTTAAGCATTCGCCCTCAGGGTATGTAGCGCTTTGACCAAGCTTTTCCATTGAACATTTTCCTCAATAGTGAACAAATGTTAATATATAACACCAACCATTTTGTTCATAGAGCTTGTTTTCAAAGCTACACAGTCACCAGCAGTTTGGAAAGATGTCATTCAGCCTTCAGAGTAAAGCAGTTAAGCGGTAAAACTAAAACAAGGAGCTAAAAGGCGCTAAAATGCTACACTGAGCCCATGGGAAATACACACAGGTGAAAATTCACTGTGGGTTAGCTTTGAATATTAGTTATCGCCAAAATAAGTTGCTGTTTAATCATTTCGGTTATAGTACCCCAAAATAAATGTAGTCACAGTGTGTAGAGGAAAGTCTTTTTGTAGGCCGACCTTGAAGTTAGAATCACAAGAGCTCCCTCGAGAAATGAATGGGATATTTCCAGTGGATTTCATGAATATCTCTTTAGCTTCACAGACCTTATTTCAGGCCTTTGACCAAAAGCAGATTCAAAAAACCATTGACTTTGAGACAAGGGAACTGGAAGTGGTGAAATATTCTGTAATATGCCTTCATGAGATCTCTCTTATCCAATGCACTGAATGTCTCTGCTTTCCCCGTCTCATTATCCTCTTAATTTCTCACCGGGCAGATATCACATAATTCCTTGACATCATTTAGCAGAAAGGGTATATTTTCCCACAGAAACACCCCCTTGCCATTTCAGCACACACACACTACACACACACACCCAGGCATACAACCACACCAGATAATCCCCTTCTCAATGTAATTAAGCCACAACACAGCGGCAGAGCACAAGACAGAAACAAAGAAGCTGTTCCCATAAACAAAGATCTCACTGAAGAATATTCGACTAATTTGAGCTCGCGTTTTGTGTCTTGGTGTTCGCGAGTGTGTGTGTTTGTGTATGTGAATGCCATTATCTTGTCTCAGTAACAGTCATTTGCTCATTTTGCACGCCATTTAATAGAGGTGCTTGCTTTCATCCTTCCATGCCTGCTTTTGTTTTGACTAACAAAAAAAGAAACAGATCGATTAAGAGCTTCAATTACTCCTGCGGAGGGAATGCCGTCACAGTGTGTGCGTGTGATACAATTCTCCTCGCGCTGTATGAGGGCAGAGAAGTGGTTGCCACGGTAACAGCGGTTGGGGGCTTGGAGAAAACGGGAAGGCGAAGCAGGGAGCAAACGGTCGGAAGAGGAAGGAGAGGATGAGCAAAAGAGTGGGGGAAGAAGGAGAGTTTGGTTATATAACTAAACTTAATATTTCTAACGCTGCCATTAGCCCATTTAAGGGCTAACACTGAAACTGAGTTAGGAAAAATATCTAAATTAGAGTGATACGAACAATCACTAAAGCTTGTAATGTTTCTTAAGTAGGGATACTGACCAAAAATCACTGTAACGTGTATATCTGAAATATGAAAAACAAGCAATATACAATACTGTTCAATTAGTCTGAACTCTGTTAAAAACTGTCAATGAGTGATGTTGTATAAAGTACTTTACACTGGATTCATTACTTTGTTATAGGTGTTCATAGAATAAAACACTCCTAATAGGATATATTATTTTATTCATTTTATTGTCTTTTTAATGCAAATGTTTTCTTCTTATGTCTGTATAAATATTCAACTTAATTTATGTTACATAGTATTTCATTCATTTTAAATTTTCACTTTAAATGATTATGTTTATATCGTGTATTATTATGTTGCATTTGATATTTTTAGTGAAAATGCATACTTCATATCGTCATATTCTTAATCTTTTATTTTATTTCCAAATGGAATATCTTTCCATGAACCAATTTACCTCTGGATAAATAAAGTATTTCTGATAAAAGAAGCAGAAGCAGCATTGCATAACTGATGAGTCATGTTGTAGGCTCCGTCTCTCTTTCTTTAGGGAAGCATGATATTTGTTCAAACATGGTGTTTTTCAGACAGCTATGGTAACCAAAGTGCATCCATAGAGTATTTTTAACAGCTTATTTGTGAAAACGATGATAAACGAGGATTAGGTATTGGATAACATCAACAGACATTCAAAGCTGCTTTTAGGCATCATTGAGAAATCTGAATCAGAAATATCCTTTCATTGTTTCAGTCTAACCTTTAAAGCTAACATGAAGTCCTAGAAGTGCTGAAACACATGGAGGGAGATTGTGTGATCAGATGGAAAGCTCCCACACAGTGATGAGATTTTTTTTTGGCAAACTGCGGTTCTCAAGGTCGAGAATCAACTAATCCTAACTTTTAAGACGAGATGAGAAGTCTTCACAGTGCTCAGTGGAAATTTCAATCTGCTGAGGAAACTATGTTATGTGTCCTTCTACCGGGGCGACCATCGAGAGCGTGCTGTCATACTCCATCTCGGGGTGGTATGCAGGATGCTCAGCTGCGGACAAGAAAGCCCTGCAGAGAGTGATCAGGATGGCAGAGAAAACCATCGGCTGCCCCCTGCCCTCTCTGGAACACATCTCCACCTCCCGCTGCCCCAACAGAGCTAACTAAATAATAAAGGACAGCTCTCACCCAGGTCACAGACTGTTCTCCCTCACGCCTTTCTGGGAGGAGGAGACGAGGGCTTCAAGTCAGGACAACAACAGACTCAAAAACAGTGTTCTACCCCTTGGGCGCGTCAGGCTGCGTACCGCACAGCATATTCAATAAACGCGGAAACCATTTGCGCAACACATTACCACACTTTTAAGGCACTTGTATATCGGGTAGGTTTTATATCAATAGTTTGTAGACTATTTATTCCCCCTGTTATGATTGTTTATGTTGTCTGTCCTATTGCGTGCTGACGTGTGTTGTATTTTTGCACACCGGGGGACAGTGCAGCTCTGAATCTCGTTTGGGTTACTCTGTGTATGGAATGACAATAAAGGCTTTTAACCTTTTAACTTATAAAGCAAAGAAGCTCCAGACTGCATCTCTTGGTAAAGATAGTTTAGCGATTTACACTCTTTTCAATACAACTTCTCATGTTTAAAAAGATTAAATCCTTTGACTTTCCACCTCTGTTTCCCTGGACGCTTGTGTGTATGAGTGTTGTCAATGACGACAGCTTCTCATGGTCATCCACCTGAACTTTGGCCAAATCAAAAAAATCTCTTCCTCGCTTACGCATCACTTGTGTCTATTCTGGAGAAGCAGCTTACAATGGTTTTTGTCTTATTGGACAGGCTAATGGCACTTGCAGGATTCTTGCTTTCTCTGAGGGTCATCATGGGTAAATGCAGCACTTATTGTAAGTTTGGGTTTAAGGATACAAAGGCAAGTCCTTGGGGGGTCGTGGAATGGTAATCCACTGAATGAACAGAAATCCTTCGAGCTGTAGGGTCTGTGTCTGACATTGTAACACACACTCCAAAGAGTATTANGACACTACATACTGATATACACCTGAACATCAGCAGGAGAGGACTCTTTAAAGTAGAGACACTACATACTGATATACACCTGAACATCAGCAGGAGAGGACTCTTTAAAGTAGAGACACTACATACTGATATACACCTGAACATCAGCAGGAGAGGACTCTTTAAAGTAGAGACACTACATACTGATATACACCTGAAAAAGAGCCGAATAGGGCCCTTTTAATTCCTCACTTTTCTATATACACTTAAAGAGTTTATTTGGACCGCAGAAGCCACCTTTCATAATAAATAATATATTAAAACGGCCATTTAAATAAGCCATCGTACTAAAGTGCAGAGGAATGCAGAAGTGTACACTGTGTTTAGTTAGTGGTAGATTCCCTGTGTGATGGATGATGTAATCTCGTCAGCTGGCTGCAGTTCAGCCTGCAGTTCAGCCTGTATCTCGGCCTGTATCTCGGCCTGTATTTCCTCTTTGTCTTTCAAGTTGGCCGGCATCCAGGGTTAGATGAACATCTCCAGAGTGAGACATCGTTCTGACATCTCGTTAGCCGGGAAGTGTCCGGAGCCAGCTCGAAAACAATGAGCTGATTGTGACACAGCAGACAGGAGATAATCTACAACATCTGTGATACGCTTTCACTTCCGGAATCAGATAGCCAGGCCTGCTGTAAACAAGAGATGTTTACTCAGCTCCAACTATAAAATCCCCGTTTTGAAGCAGCTGAAAAGAGGCTGTCAGTTCTCAATGCTTTCAATCAAATTGGTTGTTTGCTTTTGTTCCTTTGAGGCAGAAAATCTGACTAAATAGATCATGAGTGCATAACAAAATATGATTTCTTTGTGCAATATTCTTTAGTTTTTGGTCCATTCTGATCGAGAACAGTTCCCTTTCTAAAGATAAGATACGAGAGACAAACACCCCAGCATTTATCTATACTATACAAATGTTTAATTATCAGAAGTAATTATAAGAGGATATTATGATGCTGCAAAAGTTTGAGTTAAAAGAAATCAAGATGGAAAATGCACTGAAATAAAAAAATAAGCAATTGTTCTGCATTAATAACATTTCAATTAGGAAATGTGTTATCATGCTTTCCATAAACTCTAAAATATGTACCTCTTTTAAAAGTTTTCTTTTAATAAAAGAATATTGATGCTATTGGTATGCCTCTAAGGATGTGGACAGCACACACCACTGCAGCAGTTAAGAAGGCCCAGCAGCGACTACACTTCCTGAGGGTGCTTCGGAGAAACCGACTGAACAAGAAGCTGCTGGTGTCCTTCTACCCGGCGACCATCGAGAGCGTGCTGTCATACTCCATCTTGGGGTGGTATGCAGGATGCTCAGCTGCGGACAAGAAAGCCCTGAAGAGAGTGATCAGGATGGCAGAGAAAACCATCGGCTGCCCCCTGCCTTCTCTGGAACACATCTCCACCTCCCGCTGCCCCAACAGAGCTAACAAAATAATAAAGGACAGCTCTCACCCAGGTCACAGACTGTTCTCTCTCCTGCCTTCTGGGAGAAGATACAGGAGCTTCAAGTCACGGACAAACAGACTCAAAAACAGTTTCGACCCCTGGGCCGTCAGGCTGCTTAACCACCACACATAATGCAATAACCGTAACCATTCTCACACATACACACACTTTTAATGCACTTTATATACTATTTTTATATCAATATTTTTAACTATGTATTCCCCCGTATGATTGTTTATGTTGTATGTCCTATTGCCGTGTTTTTTAGTGTTATGTATGTGTTTGTATTTTTTGCTCACCGGGACAGAGTTGCACTCTGAATCTCGTTATACTCTGTTTATAATGACAATAAAAGGCTTTAACTTAAACTTAAATATATATACAGAATATATTAAATACAGTGTTGGCCAATCAATTGATGGATGACGTATTCTTACATTAGTTTATATTACATGTTTTCAATTTCTTAATTGGATCCTTTGATACTAGCTTCCCCTATTCTTGATATCATAGTCAACTCATTTAGATGATGTTTTAATTTTTATTCGAACATATGCTTATTCATTGATTTCTTCCGATGAGTTATTCTCGGCGCAATTGAATTAATCCCAACAGTATTTGTATTTTATTTGCTTTTAACACATTAAAAAGGAAGGGTGAATAAGACAGCACATTAGACTAAATGTCCCATCAATGTTGTACATTAACCAACTAGTTTCCTACATTGTATGGGTAATACCTTCTAAATCGGAAGTACATTAAATGGCATATTATTCAATGCATGTATGTTTCATAGAATATATTATTTTGGGTAGGTTTGCTCTGTCCGTAATAGCATTTTAGATTGATTAAATAACAGTACATGTGTCTGAATGAATACTTGCCTACTTTTACTTAAAAAGTATGAATGGCCAGTACTGTCTAAACTTCGTAATGGAGTATTTCACCGCAGGTGTCGGGTGTTTGACTTACTTCAAGGATCTCAACGACCTGCAGCAATGCTTCGCATACAAGGTGCGCTAAAGTGTTATTAATGGATAATAAAGTGCTACTCGAAGTGAGTGGTAAAGTTTCGAGTTAAAGGAGGTAAAGGGAACTGACTGCTCTGTGTATCGAAGCTCGAGGCTGTAAAACAGGCGTCCAGTAGTTGTCTGGAGTCTCTTGGTTCTCCTCGCTTTGGAACAGCAGACACTCCTCCTCGAGATGCTGCTATCGTCTGTTCAAGACAGGCAAATATTCCATTCAGGCAGCAACAGTGAGTCGCTGCTGTCTTCAACGACCAGCACGGCATTTGGACTTCTGAACTTCATGTTTGCCTAGATCACCCATTTTTCCTGCAGAGCTCATACGTTAAATGCCACACCCGTTTCCTCTCCATCAAACTCTCAATCTGACTCAGTGCTTCGTAACGTGTTTGCCAGCTAGCATGCTAAGTAGCTCCGATAGTCCGGAGGTAAACGCTCCAGAAAAAAGAGCAGAGCCAGTCCATTCAGAGGGTTTTTCCATCCACGACACACCAGATGATGGAACCTAGTTAAGAGCTGGGACGCTCACACCACTTTCTTCGAGGAACACAGATTGAACGCGTACGAGACGAGACGCACGCTCGCGTGGATCATTGGTTCAGGTTCTCCTCTGTTCTTCTCTGTGGTGATTAAACAGCAAGGTTGATTACCGCCAGCCTACTGTACAGAGTGGTGTATTCACCATATCATCACGCTTGTGGGAGTGTATACCTACTGCTTATTTACGTTCGTTTTAAAATTCCTTCCAATCATCCTGTTTCATCAGAATACTTCAAGAATGGCCTTCCTCTGCGATAACTCCTTACCCCCTCACCTGTCTGTTCCCCAGGTCCCCATCAGGCTCCACTCCCTGCCTGCCTCTCCTGACCCTGTCTCTTAGGTGTTTCCCTCTCGTCTTTGTACATGTTGCCAGTGTGATTTGTTGCCACCATTTTTTTCTCTCCTTCACTCCACACCCCCTGCATTCTTCAACTTACACTTTTTTCCCTTTAACAAAACATTGTGCCGTTTTAATCCTGTATGTCCAGTCTGCAGTCTAGTGATTGTCGATCTCCTCCTCGTTGTTTCTTTTCTGTAGAGGCTTTATCTATGACACGGTGATTTGCTGTAGACTTGCTGGTCTATGGCTCCTCCCCTTTTGATTCTTTCCTCCCACCCTTTTCTGTCATAATTTTCATACCCTTCTTCTTATTGCTTTTCGCCTTCCTCCAAGTGAAACTCTGCCATGGTATTGCCCCATTTCCTTTTGTACACGACCTCTTTGTAACTATCAGCTGTCATTCCCTTGAACCCCCGTCAATGGTGCAGCACCAGCATAACTGGCACAATCTATCCCCCTCCTCTGAACATTCAGTAAGCATGTGGTTTAACACTGGATCTAGATTTGTTTTTCGATTTTTAGCAGTTTTCTTAAATACCTTTTAAACTGCATTTCTTCGAACATTGCGCCCATCTTGTGTACATATCAAGAATTGTTCCGGACAGAATCTCTGTTTTGCCTATTAATGCTGTCATACCCGATTATCGTGTTAACCCCGACAGGTAATCTAATTTTTTGAATTGTGCGTATAAAATACTTTAATGGCCCCGGCCCCCACTTATCATCCCACCAGTGGGCACCAATGGCCAGGGTATGCCTGGGTAGGCTAGAGCCGGATATGGCTTACCCCACTAGTCGGAAATAATGATGTTAAAGTAAGACTACAATAACATACCGCCAACTGCAGCGCGGAGTAAATGTGTCACAGAACAGCAAGTTAGTAGATGATTCTCAGTAGCCACTTGTCTTGGGAAATACGAGAGACTAGACCACGGTTTTTGAAAACTGTTTTTTAGTCACGTAGTGATCGTCTTCTCAATAGAACATCTTTGCGATAATTCTTCTCTGGCCAATCAGAATCGACGATAACGGGTGTGGTTGGTCTGCTGCGCAGGAAACCCCGCCACGGAGATACTTTTGCCTGTAGTGCATCTCTGCTGCTATCTACTACATCATGCTACAACATTCACGTGCTGATACGAAATTGATTATTTTTATATTTAGATTTTCTTCTTGTGTTGTGTTGTTGATAGGTGTGTGGTGCTGTCAATGACACAAGAAAATCATGTTAAATTGGATAGATTACTGTAGTTAACATTGGTATTATATGTCGCGCCTGCGGTTCATTGTATTTTTCCATTCCCACAACAAATGCATAAAGAACATGGCATATTTTGGACTATGGTCTCGATATGGTGATTAATCCATGATTAATTAATTTGAAGGTGTGATTAACGTTCTGATTGAACATTTTTTAATCGTTTCGGACAGCCCCTACATTGCCGTTTAGTGAGATGTATGCAAATGTCTAGCTCACCCCCGTTGAGCAGCCGTTGTTGATGGAGATAAGGTAGCGTCAAAAGTCTCTAGACACATGTGCTTGGTAAATGGATTTTTCCTGAACACGCTGTCTGCACAGACGTCGTTGTGGCGGAAAAGCACACAGTTACTGCATGTGATCGAATTTTTTTGGTCGTTTTAGACTTTGGTGTACCCCGCAACAGTGCTTGAGGATCGACAAAGCAGCAGTGACAAATTTGGAATTACCACTCGGGGCTAATACTAAATGGGTGTATATTCATCGTCTAAAATGGAAAAAAGATTAAATTCAATTTTGGTAAAATAGGTGTTTATGGACTTATTCGCAGCCGAACAACCTGAATACCATTTAGATCTGAATAATGGACTTATATTATTGACCAAGGTTCATGTGATTTGTACAAATACAAATTGCAGGCATCCAAAGCTTTTTTTTTCTACCGCAACACATTTATTATAGAATATGCTTTTTCAGACCAACTAGTTATATATAATATAAGAAACCTGGACAAATGTCGAACTATTTACACATAGTTGAAGATCAGAACTTTCAAACCAACGTATATCATTATAAAGTTGTCTAAGCGACAGTGTCAAATGTCTGGTGTCTGTCTTCCAAGACCAGTGGGTCTGGCTGCTTGCGGGTGAAGATGGGCAGCCCCAACCGGTTGATGGTGCATTGGGTGCTGTGTTGTTGTAGGTGGGAAACGCTACAAGTGCTATCCGAAGACCCACGAGACCTCCGCTGTGTAAGTGCATGCTGTGGTGGAGCCTTTGTGGGACAGCCCGATGGCCATCGGAAGACCGAGGCTTCCCCCGAGGCGTGCGTGGTGTAAAAGTTGGGAGTGCTGCCTAAGGATTTTTTTTGTTGTAGGATCGACGCTGCGCTATATAGGGGGTCGATCTCTGCTCACAGATGGTG